CCGGACAGACAGAGAGAGACAGAGAGACAGAAAGCGAGAAATCACCCCCCAGAGGGGATGGTCACGCCGCAATCCCTTCTCCTTCATTCTCCTCTCGGGATCTTGGGCATGCACGCACACACGCCCGGCGTGAGTTTTAAGCCACCGGGTCCGGGCTGCGAACTGCGGTCAACTATGTGGGAGTCCAGCAACATAGCCATTACACTAACTGCTGGTTCCCACGACTGAATAACTCCCAAACAAGTTACAACCTCAGTTTATAGATCTCTTAGCCTCAGTTATTGTGATAGTCTAAATTTAAGCTTTCTCTCAGGCACATGGCATTAAAAAATATAAATAAGTAACTAATACAGGTGAGAGAGTCCTTGGGAGAAAGAAAAAAAAAAAGCACCTATAAAGCATTATTTTACAGCAAGTCATTTGAAGAACTTTATGATTCCATAATCTTAACAGCTTCTAATATAGCACTTAATATATAATAGGCTCTCAGTAAACAATCATTTCATAGATCAAGCAGAGGGCATTTAAGGAAAGGGAAAAGAGATGAAACTTAAATTAATCAACTCCAAGTATTGAGTCCCAGGTTCCACACAGGGAGACCACAATGAATTATTTGGATGACTTACGATGTGGAAAGTGAGTGAAGTTTTTCCAGTCTATAGCAAATGAAAAGTTTTCTTTCCACTTTCAGCTTTATGAAATGTGTATATAGACGTATATTGTCCAAACTGCAGCTTCAGTGAAATTTTAATAAATAACATGAATTGTTACTTGATTTGTCCATCCCACTGATTTACTGTCATTTTGGAGATAAGCCATGCCCTGGATTTTCTCCACTACCCTGGGTAATCAAATTATTGATTTCTTTTTGGAGCTAAATTACTGTAAGGATTAATAATTGGCTTTGCATTTATTCATTTTTAAGTTTACAAAGCCCTCTGCCCCTAGAAGTAAAGTTTCCATATAAAGTCATATAATATTTTTACCAAGAATTACGAACAACGTGAACCAGATATCCTACCTCAAATCCAGACAACTCCCAATGGTCCACTTTACTTACATTCTCAGAAAATATTACTTTAATGCATGTGACCAAACCACATATAGGAATAGAGACTAGAATTTCCCACTAGAGTTTAATGTGAAAAGAGGGGCTGCTTGCTTTTGATTCTTTCATTTTATCACTAAAAATAAACGTAAGCCAAAAAATCCTTCTCAAATTAAAAAACCCACGGACTGAATCCTCTCACTTACTCTGTAGTCATAAGAACGTCTTGGATCCTCGTCACAGTCAATCACCTCAGGTGCCATCCAGTATGGTGTTCCAATGAAGCTATTTCTCCTTCCATTAGTTCTGCTCACCTGGGCACTCACTCCAAAATCCACTGAAAAATTTGGTATATGCCAAAATAATTAATCAGGAACAAAAAGCTCAATAAGTTATTGCTTTAACTTGGAAAGCCAATACAAAAGCCACAATGGATAACAGATTTTCATTCCAATCCAGCAAATTTTACCATGAAGTCTACTCCAGGAATACTGAGAAATAATCTCTTGCTGCTATTTACATTGGAATGAAACTTAACAGGGCTATTATAAATCTATAGTACATTTGGCTGAATGTTTACTATGAATATCAAAAATAAAGTTCCATTGGTACACCCTGAACTTCTGAAGTGATAACATATGTACTGTTTGGACATCAAGCTGGAGTAGCATCTGCACTGTAAGTAATATCTAAGAAAGTTAAAACTTATCATCTGTTGCTTAGGAAGCCTCACTCATGACATTAGAAAGTCCTATCATGTTATAGAAAAAACACAGTTTCCTACTAGAATTTAGTTTAAGTTCTTATACAAATCTGAATCAGATGCAGATATTTACTGTAGTATCTATATCTTAGTTTAGATTATAAAAGCTCAGTCTCCTGTTCATCTGTGGGATACATTATAAAAACAATATTTAGTATGGTATCCTCAGAAACAGACAGAGAAAAGTCTGAACTAGACTGAGGTTATTTATTCCAGAAAAAATAAGACAGGGATGAAAAATGAAGTCGATTTTCTAATTTAGAATGGTTTCCAGGAATCTAGAGGATGGCAAACAAAACTGATTGTAAAGCGGCTTGAAAAATTTAGGGGAAGAAAAGAAAAAAGGAAAAAAAAATACACAATAGCTTGAGGCACTCTTTAAGAAAGGTCTAACAAGAACAGCAAAATTTCCACAATACTGTGAAGATCACTATTAAGTGTTAGACAACATAAATTTTTTGTTTTAGAAATAGGTTAATTTATAGCCCATCTTCATCATCCCTGAGGGCCGAATTTAAGGGCCAAATAATACTTATGAAGACCATAAGCTGACATATGGATTACATTCAGAGAAGAAAATTAAAATAGAAAAAGACTAGGAGAAAGAGTGAGGAATGGAAGAAAAGGGGAAAAAAGATAAAAGCTGAAATTAAGGTAAAGGTAAAGTTGAAACCTCAAAAATGGTACAATTTATTCTCTTTTTTAATGACCTTAGAGATTAAAATATAAAGAGTATTGATCAACTGCAACTGCAATGTAATCATTTTCCTGTCTTTTTCCTTTCTATCAATTATTTTGCATGTCATTAGTTTTGCCTTCAGCAACTTTCTTATATGTTACTTAAAAATAGGCTATAATGTGAATAATTTACAATAAAATGTATAATAATTATATGTAAAATACACCTGATTATATACTAATCTAGCCCTGAAAGATTTCTTTTCCAGAGTAAAGCATATGAGCTTTAATGTATGGCCTTTGTGACAGATATTGCAGTGATTTTTCACTTGCTTGCACTTTCTCTTTTGTGTTATAAATGGTTGGGCTGGCCAGCAACTTGACCTATGTATATGAGCATATTGTTCTATTTGTGAACATAGTGTTTAACCTTGTAGTGGACTATCTATCCAACACATTTGAATGTGAAATCTATATAGCTCTCATGTTTTGTCATGTAGTTTCTAAAATTGTGTCTCTAGGGACCAGCAGATGGTGTAATGGTTATGTTGCTAGACTCCCACATAATCGACCGTGGTCGAGTCCTGGACCCACTGTCTTGAAAACTCATGCTGGGTGCATGTACATGTATGCCCAAGATTCCAAGAGGAGAATGGAAGAGAATGAATTGTGGTGTGGCCATCCCCACTGTGGAGTGATTTCTCTCTCTGTCTCTCTGTATCTCTCTGTCTCTCTGGTGAGCACACGTGCCCTATAGCAAAAATCTTTTTAAAAATTGTGTTTCTAAATTCATAGGTTTTAGATACAAAAGAGATAATACATTTTCTTGAAACTATTTATTACCTATTTCAAAACCAATTACTCCCTGATACTTCTTCCACAAATTTTCAGTGAAAAATGTTTTCAGAAGAATGAAAAAAATCTTTTTTTAGACTCTGTTTTTTTTAATTAGAAATACTGTAAGACTTGTTAAGAGACATGTAAAAGAGTAGATATAAATAAAAATAAAACAGGTGTTTATGTTCTATTATATTAATGGGGTTATCTGCCACTGCATAGTACTGTCATTATTTATATGGTATTATTTTTTAAAAAAACAGAGATTAATATTTCATGCAAATGTTAAAGATTGCAATACATTGACCCCCGTATGCCTGTGAGACAATACGAGTGATTATTTTCAAATAAATTATACCACACTGAACCATGGAATAGAAAGCCACGACCTTCTAGTCTTTTGATTTCTAATTCTGAATCTTATTTGGATAATATTGGAGCATCATTTTTTTTTTAGAGAAAGAGATTTTTGCTACAAGTGTGTAGGCTTGCCAAAGAGACAGAAAGAGACAGAAAGTGATAAATCAGCTCCTCAGGGGGGAGATTAACATGCGACAATCCCTTCTCCATTCTCCCCTGGAAATTTTGGACACATGCACATGCCTAGCATGAATTTTAAGCAGCCAGCTCTAGGACTTGAACCGTGGTCAACTACAGTAAAGTAACCATTATGCCATTTGCTGGTGCCAAGCATAATTCTAAAAAAAAAAAAAAAAATGTTATTTCTTTAAATATTTGAAGGAAATTTTCAATGAAAGGATTGTGCTTAAGTAATTTAAAAGTTCTTCAATATTCTAAAAAATACATAGTTCTCTGATGTGGAATATTCTTTTTTTATCCCATGACAGAGACACTTGTACATGGTAAATAGTTGATTCAATTGCTGAAATATATATAGATATATAATTGCTATGCCCCAAATCCCAAGAAGAGAATGAAGGAGAAAGCATTGCAGTGTGATCATTCCCCCTGGAGAGTGACTTCCTACTTTCTCTGTCTCTCTCTCTCTCTGTGTCTCCAGCGAGCCCACACACCCTATAGCAAAAATCTCTCTTGAAAAGATTTTTGACTGGCATTGCAGGCAGAGAAGATCTAGATCAAATAAATAGAAAATATTGACAGAGATATCATAGAAAGCACAGTTAGTTACTGTAAAGGAGAGCCCCCCCCCCATTAAGATGCTTTGGGAGAAAAAGAAATGTGCTTCTGTTGTGTGTGGCACACATAGGGCAACTTAATTTTTCATGCAGAATTGACATCAAGAGATTTCAGAAGCATATTTGGGGGGGTAGTTGAGCAGGAGAAGTGAAAATGTTCTGTGTGAAGATGACATATTTTTACACATGGAAAACCCTAAAGATTCTGCCAAAAGATGTTAGAACTAGTAACAATAAAGTTGCAGCATACAAAACCAACATATACAAATCAACAGCATTTCCATACAACGATAATGAACCATATGGAAATGAAATCAACAAAATAGTTTTATTTACAAAAGCTAAAAAAAAAGCATCCAGAAATGAACGTAACCAATTATGTAAAAGATCTTTACACCAAAAAATGCAAAACTTTCTTGAAATAAATCGAAGAGGACATGGAAAGATATCTCATAATAATGGATTCTAAGACATAATATTGTTAAAATTGCCATGGAACTAAAAACTATCTCTAGATTCAATGCAATCCCTATCAAAATTTCAATGATTGGAAAAAATCATAAAATTCATATGGAACCATAAAAGACCCTAAATAGCTAAAGCAACCCTAAGCAGAAAAAATAAAGCTAGAGGCATAATACCTACTTTTAAACTATAGTAACTGAAAGAGCATGGTACAAATATAAAAACAAACAGAGACCAATGGAGCAGAACAGAGGGCCCAGAAATGAATTCACACATCTACAGCTAACTGATTTTGTATAAAATATGCTGGACTCGCTATTGAAAGTATTTAGATTAATTAAGATATTTTGTGGGATTAGATAATGTGGGAACAAATGAAAGAATGAAAGCAACTGCAGATACCAGAGACAGGGTGGGATGGGACATGGCAGAGGGTGAGAAATAGGGGGGAGGAATACATATATACAAGAAATAAGAAATGGAAAATTATTTGTTGACAATAACATGTATGATTAAGCCAGTTTATAGTGTATTTTGGCTGGAAAATCACATTTTGTATGCTGTGATGATGTTCAGTCAAAGCAAAATAAATAAATGAATAAAAAATATGCTGGTGAGAAGATAGCCTTTTCAATAAATAGTGTTGGAAAAATTGGATTATCCACATGCAGAAGAATGAGACTAGACCTCTACCTCTCATCATATACAAAAATCGACATAAAATTGTTTAAAAAATTAAATATAAAACTGAAAATATGAAACTACTAGAAGAAAAAGATAGAAGAAATGCTTCATTACATTGGCCTTTGTAAGGATTTCTTTTAGATAAGACCTCATAAGGACAGGCAACAAAAGCAAAAATAGACAAATTGGAATACATGAAACTAAAAAGTTTCTGCACAGCAAAGTAAACAATCAACAGAGTGAAGAGACAATTTACAAAATTGGAGAAAATATTTGTAAATTATATATCTGAGAAAGGGATAAAATCAACATATGTAAAGAACTCAAGTAACTCAATATCAAAATAATAATAATCTGAGTTAAAATGGGCAGGAAACCTGGATAGACATTTTTCAAAAGAATACATACAAAAGGTCAATAGGTACATAAAAAAAATGCCCAACATCATTAATCACCAGAAAAATAAAAATCAAAACTGCAATGAGATACAACCTCACCCCAGTTAGAATGGTTATTATCAAAAAGAGAAGAAATAAATGCTGGCAAGGATGGAGAGAAAGGGGCATACTTAAAATATTGGCACATTTTCCATAATGTTTTCCATTATGGGAAACAATAAGGTTGTCCAAAAAAAAAAAAAATTAGGATTGCCATATGATCCAGAAATCCTACTACTGGTATTTATCCTAAAGAAATGAAATCACTATGTCAAATAGTTATCTGTTTCCTGTAAAAATAACTATGTTTAGTATAGCATTATTTGCAATCACAAGTTTTGAAATCATTCTAAGATTTATCAAGGGATGAATAAAAGTGTGTTATATATATTCATTGGAATAGTATTGGCCATAAAAAAGAAACAGATCTTGTCATTTGTAATGATATGGATGAATTTGGAAGACATTATGCTAAGTGAAATAAGCCAGGAACATAAAGACAAATACTGTGTTAATGTTATCTCATTCTCTGTAAGTTGATCTAATAGAAGTAGAGAGTGGAAGACCAGCCTGGTGGTGCAGTGGTAACATACTGCTCAAATGATATGGGATTCATGTGGAACACTATATACTTGTATAGAGAAGTATCACACTGTACCCTATAAATAAGTACAATGATCACTTGTCAGTTAAATATAAAATAAAACAAAAAGATGTTTGGGAGCACATTCGAAATGATGCAAGGGGCCAGCCTATGATATGGTGATTAAGACAGCTGGATTCTGCATGACTGACTGCATAATTTGAGTCCCAGACTCAGTGGCTCAGGAAACACACTGAGCACATGTGCACGCATGTTCCAAACCCTGAGAGTAGGAAGGGATGGAGAAGAGATTGCAGTGTGACTATGTCCCCTGATAGTGGATGCTTTCTCAATTTCACCACCCTGGCCCCCACCATCTTTCTTTATCAAGCACTTGAAACCTCTGACATTTTTTTTTTAAATATTAAATGTTGCAAGAATAAACTTACCCAACTTTACTTCAGCATTATGAGTCAGTAGCACATTCTGACCTTTGATGTCCCGGTGAATTACTCGGTGTGCGTGAAGGTGAGCTAAGCCCTGTATATATACATATATATTTAAAAAAACACATCAGTATATACTTTTTCTCTTTTCTGGTACTGTTCTTAATACTTTTAGAAGAACTTTTGGTAAGGTAAATGGTCCAGATTTAATTTTTCAGATGAAATTCTTTTTTTAGGCTTGGAATTAGTACAACCAGTTCCCAGAAATACTACTTTTGGCTATAAGAAAAGGAAAATAAATCAGGACACCCATGAAAGAAAAAGAACATCAAAAAGTAATGTTTGTATACATTGGGCTACTTTACCTTCCTTTTAGCCTCCACACTTCCAACTAACTCTGAGTAAAGACCTAGACATGTTAAATACCATAGCTCAGCCGCTGTTTTGCTCTATTCCTCATCCAACCATTTGTTTAGTCCAAATTATTTCTAGTCAGTCCTGTAGGCTGAAAATTTGAGGGAACATGGAAATTCATTTTAAAGCATTTGCAATTTGTGTTGGCTTACCATGCTGGCTCCAACCCATGCAGCACTGAAATTAACCCACGGACTGGATAAACAATGTCATGATGTGCAGTGTTAGGTTATAGTTCGATTGCTCCAGGCACTAACTTGAGGTTAATAATAGAGTTAATGATAAAATTAGGTAACATTTGTTGAGCCTTCATTCTTTGCCACACATACTGCTGAGTACTTTACATGGAGTAAAGTATTAATTTCTCACAGCAACTCTTTACGGAAAGTGCTAATATCTCCCAAATTACAGATGAGAAAAGTGAGACCTGGAGAAATTAAGTAAGTGACTGAATACCATACCACTAATACATGGTGAATTAATTTAAACTCAGTCCAGAGTTTTCCATCTTAACCATTAACACAATTACCGTAAGTGAATCCAGCCAAGATGGGAGAAAGGACATTCTCATACTGTATGAGTGGCTATTAAGTTCTGTTAATATCCTTCTTGGGTTACTCTAAGCAATTAAGTCACAAAGAAAAATTTGAGTTTGGTATCTAAAGAAAATTGTTGCTCTTATCCAACTGGGTGTTGGAAAGAAAGAAAAAGTGCATTCCCATCTGTGATGGCACAGGTAGTAGGGTGTTGCTGTCCAATACTGGATTCACATGCTAAGCGTGGGTATGGTTTCCAGGACAACCTGAACATGTCAAGTGTGCCCATATGCATGTGTGATCCTGGATTATTGGGAGGCTAGGGGGAGGATCACAGAAAGATGAGACCTTGTCAGGGATCCCTTCCTTCCCTCCTTCATCTGAAAACAAACTTTTTTTTTTTTTTTAATGTGGGGCAATATTCAAAGAGAATATTTTTCAAGAAGGTTACATCTGGTTTTAGGCTATTCTACTGACTCATTTTTATCTTAAGCTATGATGACAGAACTATGCATTTATCAAAACAGTAAAAATCGTAATAACATAAGAAATAATCTAAGTGATCATTTCTATGATCCATTGAACAAAGTAGTTTGAATCTGATATGTCATTAAAGGCTATGATTTGAGGGGTCAGCAAGTGGTGTAGCAGTTACATTGCAAGACTCTCACATGGGTGTTGGCAGTCCAAGTCTCAGACCCAGTGACTTGAAACACACTGGGCACATGTGTGTGTGTGTGTGTGTGTGTGTGTGCCCAATATCCCAGGAGAAAAATGGAAGCGAAGGGACTGTGGTGTGGCCATACCCCTTGGGGGGGGGGGGATTTATCACTTTTCCTCTCACTGTCTTTCTCTGTCTCCTTCTTTGGTGATTGCATATGCCCTAAGGCAAAATTCTCTTAAAACCGAAAAGGCTATACTTCAAAAATCTGATTACCCAGCTTGAGCTTACCTTAATGTTTAAGGACATCACCTAAAAATCTGCTCTCTCTACTCTAAACCTTTTTGGTCTTTTAGGTATTCTGATGCAAAATTCTTAAACCATCAGACATGAGCAGATATAAAGTATCTCATACACATTACTCCCAGGTTCTTTCAGGACCAGAAGAGAATGACTATATGAAGACTCACCTGAAGAATTTCTCGGCAGATGTAAGCAATCCAATCTTCCTTTAAACTCTGATTTGTGGACATCCTCACTACATCAGTGACTGAGCCTGCTGCACATAACTCCATCACCATCTGAAGGGAAGCCAGTAAAGTATCAAGGATTAGACAGTAATGCTCCGAAAATATTTGGACAGTTATGTAACGTTTAGAGATTAAGACGCTGAAAAGACTGGATCAGCCACCTGGTAGAAAGCTCCAAATGCTAGTGGAACTAGAAAGAGTCATATAAAACCCAAAGCTCTATTGAGAGAGGGAAGCTCGGTACCACACCAGGGATATTTAACCAAGTGGTAGAATTTGAAGTAAGCCTTGAAAGATAGGTAGTGTTTCAACATACTGAGAAAGAAGATTCAGTTTATGGAAAAAAGAGTGAACACATGCTCTTAGAAAGTTATGCAGCAGACAAGTCTAAGTGTTAACTGCAGTAGAAGAGAAAAGATAATTAAGGAAACTAGTTTTATCCCAGACAAACCAGAAATGGAGGGTTTCAAAATAATATATATTTCAACATTCAAATTAAGTTTGGGGGCCAGGTTCTGGTACAGTGGTAACACAATGAAAAACACATAGGAGCAGTTCTGGGTTTGCATCCTGAGTCCACCCTGAATATAACAAGTTCACACATGTGTGACCATAATTCAGGCTGGCTGAGATTAGGAGTAGACTGTGGCATGAAGATCCTATTGAGGGTATCTCTCTCTCTCTCTCTTTTTCTGTCTGTCTCTTTCATGGAAGAAATAAATAAACTTTTAAAAGAAGACTAGATTTAGTTTTTGTTGTTTAGTTTCTATTTTCAAATTATTTTTTTAAGACACTGGCAATCTACAGATCTACCTCAATTGCATTCCTGTAGGATAATTTCTTCCAAATGGGCTTACTGCTAAGGACAGCCTACTAAAGATATCTTTGACAATATTTCATTCAGATTTAATTGTACTATAAACTCAATTTCTCAGAAAATGTATTTTTTCCACCAATGAATTGAGTGTCTTACTAATAAATTTCCTTCTCGATAATATTAGCTAACTAGAGGACAGACCAATGTGAAGAAGAGTATAATTATTATGATCAATCTATAATAGCGACCTTTTCTTTTTTTTTTTTTT